AAATTAACTGCGTTATGCTCCCAGAGCAAAAAAGTCTCCCAACAGAAGATAAAAAGATAGCTGATACCCAGCAAAACAAGGAGAAGAAAGGGCTATAATACAGAACACACATACCGAGTGAAATAAGCCAAATCCCCCGGCTGCATCCCGTGCGCAACATAAAAAATAAAATAAAATAAGCCCTTCATACTGAAAAGCCATTAGCCATAAACTCTTCCCCCCAGCGCCAAACCCTAGACCCGACATAACCCAAAGAAATAGAAGAGAAAGAAAAAAAAAGACTCGCGAGATCTATAAGTACACGGAACCCCATCTTGAACTCGTCACGGTCATACTCAAGCTGTCATAGCAATGGCCGGCGAGGAGGGGTCGACTAGATGGGACGGAGCAGGGGTGACATCGCCATCCCCGGAGTGACTCTTCTCACTAGGTACAGCACTGCTGCCATTGGCCGTGTCGGTGCCGGGGGCATGGAGCATAGTCTTAGAGTCGCTGTGGTCACTTTCTAGTGCAGCGGACTTGCCATCGACCGAGTCGTCGGACTTGGATATACCGGGTGTGCGCCAGGAAGGGAGTTGCCACATAATTCCTGTGAAGCTGCGTAGCTGTAGGGGCTTTCGCTCCCATTTGCGACACGCAGCTCCGGTGCGATCTAGCGCGCGTAGACCGGCGTTGATGGCTCCCGTATTGGCTTTTGGTCCCAGTCGCTGTGCAGCTGGAATTTTCGTAGCGTCGCCTTCCTCACTAAGATAGATGATGTGTTAGATTGTGAATGATTTTTTTTTGCTGGCATTGTGGTGCTGCATGGTAGGGTATGTCAAGTTTGCTTACAGTCTGGGTTTCTTCTTGGGGCCAGGGCGTCCCCGTGACTTTGCGGTAAGGTCGGTTTGTTCTTTTGTTCTTTTGTTACCGGGCTTGGGACCCGGAACACCCTTCCGACGCTGTGCATCGCTTGGAGTCACCCCTGTGGCGGGCGTAGAATTGGCGTCGGCGTCGGAGCCATTGTCAGCGGAAGATGGACGGACGGTAGGGAGTTCGGCGGATGAGGCTGGGGAGGAGTTGTCGTTGGTTTTAATGTTAGGGGTATTATTTTGGCTCGACTTGATCTTAAACTGCTGGAGTGCGTCCCCAGACAGCTTGAGAACCACCATCAAGGAGTTGGAGGAATTCTTAGCTCCGCGGGAGCGACCATTTGGAGTGGCGGGGGGCATGATGGATGAGGGTGCAAGGTTGCACGAAGGTACGGGTATGGAGAGTCGAGAGGGGAATTCTGACGGAATTGTATTGAGGCAATTCACAACCGTGACGTGGTGTGTCTCTACCGCCCGTCTCTTATAGATGTAGTAGTAGATGTCGATCGCATAGTCCGGTGGGAGGAAGATGGGGGGGTTAGGGTAGAAGGGGAAGGGGAACGGGAAAAAGGAAAAGGAAGTAAAAAAGGGATCGTGGACCCTCTCATCGTTAGAAAAAACTCATTCAATGAAGCACAGGGGGGATGTTGAAGGTGGACTTGGGCCTTGTACTGTCATTTTACAAATTTGCCCAGCCACTTCGAGACCAGGAAGAGCTGGATACACGATTGTGACAATACAATACCAGGTTACGATATACAGCTTCGTTTCTTTTCCTTTTCTCTCATCAAATGGTTCCAATTATTTTCTATGAGATCTTCCATCTTCAAGGATCATATGTGATTTCTCTTTCCTTACATGGACAGTATCATCGACATTCTAACCCAGATACAATATACAAATACTCAACCCTAACCCGTCGATGGATCTCATTCCACACCCGCTGCGTCCCGAAAATAACTCACTGACCGCATGATGTCTCGAGAGATGCGCCTTTTGTTTTGTCTTTTACAAACCAGAAACACAAATCTCTTTGAGATCAAGTCCAGGTGGACCCGTTCTCAACAGATCTGGTGAGGGTATCACGAGTCCTCTCCCTCAAAGCCACGGCACTATGGCCCCGGGTCGCCACCTTTGGAAACTTGACCTTCGATTAGTCCACGGGTGAACCAAAAGAATTTGCCAAATTACGCGAACGCTGCCAAGGGATCGTCCAGGTAAGACACAAAAATTACGAGATTCATGGATACAATATCTTATAAATATACACTTTAAAGCCATCTAAACCATCCAACCCTGATTTCAAGTTTTATACCTGAAATCCAATCAATCACGCTTACTGTCACTGTCAGCCTTGCGTCGTTCAACCACCTGTGCCACGGCACGTTGTACTTCAGGACTGGACCGCACCCCGCCGAGGATCAGCCCTTCCTTCATACCCCGCCGGAGCGTCGACACGCTTTCACGGTCACCACGGAAAGGTGCCAAGCCCATCTGTAGCGTCCGCGTCGCCTCGACATCTGTGCCGCGCGTCAACTGGATCAACTCCCCGATCCGCTGCAAAGTCTGCGGCGATATCTTATCGCCTTTCCCGTTGCTGGCAACTTTGGCAGAGGCCGGTGCGGCCTGCGAGATGAAAATGTGCAACATGATGGAGGCGCGACGTGCTAGCGTCAAGATCTGGAAGGGGAGGAGATAGAATGAGTTCTTAGGGAGCCAAGCTTGTAGCGCGACGGGAAGGTATGTAGTAGGCATAAACACAGCCTGGGGGTGTGTAATCAAGCCGAGTTCGAGGGTCAGCATGGCAGCAAACGTGTAGAAGCGCCACTAATGATTGTCAGCTTATGCAATTGAATTTCTTCCAATAATGATGTGTACTCACGTAACGGCCCCAATTAGCCCACCACAGCCAGTTAAGGGCAATCGTTGTGATAAACCCGCCGACATATTGAGGGACGACCGACTTGAGCAACGAGGTCATCAGGAAGTCGCGCATGGTCTTCTGCTCGCCCCATCCAAACATATCTGTCCCGAACCGATCATACGCAAATCGCTTGACTGGGTCCACCAATGTTTCCTGCGCCTGTCGAAGGTACAGGAAGTAGGCATCGGACCCGCCGTCCACCCCGACTTTATCGGGGTGATACTGAGCAGCGAGCCGGCGGAAGCGTGACTTGATTGCGCGTTCATCGGCAAATGGCGACACGCCTAGGGCTTGGTAGTAGTCGCCTGCAAGCTGTACTTGGTAGAAGGTCTCGTAGAGCGTGTAGAGGAGATAGCTGGTGATCACGAAGATGAAAATACGGCGACGATGACGCTCGAACCGTGGAGTTTGAGGTTGTGGCTTGGGGTCACCAGCACGTATGGTTATTCCATAGTAGACACTTTGTAGGAATGATGTGGTATACTTGTTCATATCAGCTCCCATTGCACATGTTGTATAGCTCCCCGTATCGCGCTCCACTTACATTGGGAAGAACAGCCCACCCGAGGAAGGGCAGAAGTGATGCCATGACGAATAAATGAATTTCACCTGAATCCCAACTGCATCATATCAAACAAGAAACTAGAAAAATAAAAGACAGATCCTTGACTGCCACTTGGCGATTACAATACGGACCCCAATAATCCTGGGGGGGGGCCATTTAACGCCCCGTCACCGCCCAGACCCACCGCCTTCCCATCTTGTCATAGCAAAAGCCAAATGAAAAAAAAAAGTTCTCGACGGTCTAAAGGAAAAAAACGAAGCACTCCAATCCCTCCACATCGACACGACAAGCTCCGTGGAGCGCCCAAATTGCCTCCACGATGGCAATTGACGCAATGGAAATCGACAATCTGCCGCTGCGCACAGCGGACGCAGAGCGCAAGCGCAAATCCAAAAAGGACGCATCCGCATCACCATCCAAAAAGCGAAAGCAAACATCCTCAAAAGCAACTCCACACCAAGATCTCAATCCCGAGTCCCCCTTCACCCTCACAACAGCAACCCTTTACCTGCCCCTGTCGCCCATCTCCATCTCGCCGACGCACGCGCTGGCCTCGCTGCTGGCCGAGCATCTCTCGCCACTGCTCCTGACCTACTTCCCCCCGCTGAAGGGTGTGGTCCTGGCTTACTCCAATGCCTCTATTTCCAGCAAGCCGCCGACCACTCTACGCACCTCTTCGGACTTGAACCCGCAGCCGCTCACCCTCGCCACAACCGCAGACGAGTACGGTGTCTTGTACGTCTACCTGACCGCCACGTTCTTGGTGTTCCGCCCGAAGCGCGGACAGACCCTTGAGGGATGGGTGAATGTGCAGTCAGAGGGATTCCTCGGTGCTGTCGTGTTCAATTTGTTCTCTGTCGGCATTGAGCGCAAGCGTCTGCCCTCGAACTGGAAATGGGTACCGCCTGGTGAGGATGCTGAGACGCCGGCTTTGACCGATGACGACTCGAGCTCTGATAAGGAGGCGGCGGATTTCGACACCGAGAAGGAATGCTTCAAGCCTACCACGCTCTCTGAGGGTGAGATCGCGATTGGCGACGAGGAGGAGGAGTCCGCCCACACCGGTTATTTCCAGTCTGTTTCTGGACACCGTGTGCATGGCTCTGTGCGTTTCCGTGTTGTCGATGTGGATGTCATTCCCGGTTCTGAGCGGGATCGTGGTTTCCTCAGTATTGAGGGAACTATGCTTTCTGCTGAGGAGGAGGAGAGACTCGTTGAGGCTGAGCGCCAGGGTCAGTCTTTGCCTCCGTCGTTCTTCTCATCGCCTAAGAAGGTTTCTGCATCAATCCCCGTGATGGACCTCCCGGCGGCGTCCGAGGTGCAGGAGCTCTCGTCTGTGGATGTGCATCTTGAGCCCAGCCCCAAGAAGGAGAAGGTGAAAAAGGAGAAGAAAGAGAAGAAGGACAAGACCGAAAAGAAAGAAAAGAAGTCCAAGTCTTCCAAGTCGAAGAGTAAGGACGAATAAATTCGCTCTGTATACATGTCTGCATGAGCACCGATATCATATATCACTGTTGACTACATCCTGGATGGGCGTTCCGGTTTGCTTGTTCTTATTTTTCGTTTCGAATGTGTATATGCCAATTGAACAAAAAAACACTTCATTCCAAACTACTTACTAGCGATATATATCGATTAATATGCAAACCTCAAATCCCACCTAAACCTTGAGAGCCAAAACATCTGCACCGCCAACAATCTCTGCCTTTCCTGGCATCTTCCCAACCCTCATCAACTCCGAAGACTTCGTCATAACGGGGTCAACCCCCATAGTAGCAACCGCCACAACGGTTTCCCCAGCCGTATAAAATGCAACGAACTTGCCCTCCCCCTTCTCCTGCAGAATAACATCATCATACCCATTGACTGGATTTCCACAGTACCGCAGCTGCGCTCCAAGCGCGGACCAAAAGACCGGAATAAACGCCTTATATTTCAAGGACGACAGCGGACCACGCTGCGCATGTACAATCGCGCGCGCAGCCGCACGTCCCGCATTTTGCGCGACATTCCAATGTTCGATTCGGACCGGCGAGCCTGTAGCGTCCGCGCCAGGGCCATGGTAGGGGTATGTTGCAATATCACCGACAGCGAAGACAGAGTCTTGCAAGCCTGGGACGAGGAAATGGGAGGATGTTTTGATGGAGCCGTCTTTTTCGAGGGTGATGGATTTGTTGTCCCGGAGGAAGTCTGTTGCTGGGCGGACGCCCACGCCTAGGATGACAAGGTCGGCTGGGAGGGTTGTTCCGTCCTTTAGGTGGACTGCACCGACGTTGTGAGTGTTTGATGGGGAGGCTGCTGCGTGGCTTACGCTTGCCGAGAGGTTAAACTTGATGCCGGATTTTTCTAGGTTTGATTGGAAGATGCGGCCGACTTGGGTTCCCATTACGCGCTCCATTGGGGAGGATTCCATGCCTACTATTGTCACGTTGTGGGATTTGGAGAGCGCGTTGCCGACTTCCATGCCGATGAAGGAGCTGCCGATTACCACGATGTTTCTTTTCTCCGAGCCGGCGGCTGTGAGAATTGACTGCACGTCTTGGATCGTGCGGAGGGTGAATATGTTGTTTAGTTCGCCCTTGAAGCCTTGGAGCGGGAGGGTGCGTGGAACACCACCTGTTGCTAGGACTAGTTTGGTGTAAGAGACGTTCTGGCCGGATTTGGTGGAGATGGATTTCTGCTCGAAGTCCACGGCTGTCACTTCATCTGTGATGGTTTCTATGGCAGCTTCGGTGTACCACTCTCGTGGCCGCCATTGGATCTTGGCTGGGTCTGTGATCAGGGCTTTGGATAGCTTGGTCCGATCTATGATTAGATCGGGCTCTTGCGAGATGATTGTAATCGCCCCGGGATATTTTAGCTCCCGGAGGGCTTGGACAAGGCCAAGAGTTCCGCTTCCTCTGTTTAGTGTTAGTGTAGTCCAAGTATCTGAATGAGATGTTCATGGTGATGAAGTAAGAAAAGATTGTGACTTGCCCTCCAACCACAACAACCTTCTCCTTCGGCTCTGACACGCTGCATTTCACTACTGGATTGCGCTGTCCTGCTTTGACATCTTCTTCTTTGGCAAGGATGTATACGCCGCCTTCTTTTTCAAAGACCTCGAATTTGTTCAGCGCGTTGGGGGCTGGAGCGTCTTCCACATCACCGGTTGTGACATTGAAGCAGGCTGTATAGTGTATTAGCTCTTTGATCTCTTCAGTATTTTAAAGAAAGAAACTCACCTCCATGCCAGGGACATGTAAGCCTCCCTTCTCCAGTGACAACGCCGTTCTTCAACGGTGCCCCGTAATGCGAGCAACGTGGACTGAGGGCATGGACTTTGTCATCCAGCTTGATCAGAAGAACTTTCCCATCCTCAATGCCTTCGATTTCGGCCTCGATCTTGTCTAGAGAGTTAAGGGATGCGAAGGACGAGATATCTTTTAATTTGTATTCTTGGGACATTGTGGAAAGATTGCGTTTGGATTGGATTGACTTGAATGGAGATGAATGGGTGGTAGACAAAGGGATAGAAGAAGAATAAGTCCAGAGTGAGCTGGATATGCGGGGTGAGGAGATATGGCGCAATGACGAGATGCAGTTACACCGCCGGGATAGTTGGATAGATGGCCACGTACTCAGGCGGTACATTGTAAGAGAAAAATGGAAGAACTGGCTCGAATAGAAAGTCAGCCTTCCTTATTAGTTCAATCCTTGTTAGTTCAATCCACTGCAATGCCTTTGAAGTGTAATAGAATTTTATACAACTACCATGACATCACTTTGTATATGTCCAACCAATCACTGACAGGGGATTGTCACCAAAACTTGATCTGCAAATATGGAGAGATTCAGGATAATATTGCATTAATATTCCGAAAATAAATAATGTCCAGGAAATAAAAGAATGTGCAGTTCCTAGACGCCATCGCTCTGCGCCGTACATATACAGACAGTAATCAACATATCAACATTCAATAATCCGTAAGGCCATATCTCAGAACTTTCGCGACGACCGCCTCTTCTTCTGGCTGGAAGGACTAATACTCACTTCCACCATTCGTTGGAGTCTTCCTGTAGAAGCCCTGGATGGACGTCCGGGCGAGCGAGGGGTGTTCTCACGTTGTGAGTTCCCATGCCGTGCAGATTTAGAGCGCTGGGATGGGTTGGTGTTAGAGGTGCTGGGTTCGGGTGATCCACTCGGGCTGGAAGTGAGGTCAATCACTTCGGATGTCTGAGAAGCGGGGATTTGGGAGGCAGATTTGGATTCATGCACCCGCTGGGAGAGTTTAGGGCGAGTAGATGCGGCGGGGGATTCCGTTTCAAATGGTGAAGGGAATGAGTTTTGTTTTTGAGATTGGGTATTCTGCTGGGCACTCATTGGTGGGATCGGAGAGCGCGAGTTGGATGCCCGTGGGGAGTCAAGCGGCGAGAAATTGAGGTCCAGGTAGGAGTGCTGCAGGCTGTCTTCCAGCCGCTGGGGACTCTGATTGCCTTCACTGATGTTTTCTTCACTGATGTTTTCTTCACTGCTGTTTTCTTCGCTGTTGTTGGCTTCGCTGGCGATGAGTGACTCGCTTGGCTCTGATGGTCCATTTCTTAACCGGTTCAAAAGATCTCTCCACGATTCAGTAGAGCTGTTGGGAGTAGCACTGTGCTTTTCTCTGATCGTATCTCTCTTCACAAACAGAGAACCAGACGTACCATCATTACCGCTACGGTCAATGGTGGACAAAAGCGAACCGGACTGAGGACCGCTGTCCCTCGAATCGCCAGGCGGCATGAGAGGTTCAGCAACAACCTGGCGCTCATACTCTTGATTATCAGACATTTCTTGGTCCTCAGGTTCAACCGCGAAGGATTGATTCGCAGAAGCGTATGACAACACAGAAGGATCCTCGTCCCGATTGACTAAAGCAGACGGCGTTTCTCCTCCGATCAGAGTATGGCCTTCAAGCTCGCGGCTGAGCTCAGCACCAGGGGTCGTTTGCTGCCAGGATCGAGCAGAGTGAAACCCATTGAAAGAAGGTGATGGGATGGGAGGGGTAACGCTGCGCCCATCAGATCCAGTCTGGACTTGGATCTGCGGAAGGCCTCTACCAGGGGTTTGTTGGATAGGTTCGTCGGGCATTCCCGGGGATTCACTACGGGACTCAAGATGGCTGACTTCATTTCCAATGGTGACAAAGGTTGTGTCGTCAAGGTACATTTCCTCAGATAGGGCTTGTTGGGCGTTCGGTACGGATTCGTGAACTACAGAGACACTTGGATATGTAAGCATGAGCTGCCAACCAGAGTTTATTTAACTGACATGCTACCTTCTCGGGTATTGTCTTGGTCCTCAGATTCGGCACCCGACTGTGCTGCGGGTTGGAGAAGCTTCGGGTCACTAAGTTCCGCAAAGGCAAGCTCGCGATAGCCGTCATCCTCCCCCTCGTCATTGGCTAGGTCTGGAACTTCAAACTTGCTGAATTGACGGGGCTCATCATCCTCGCCAGCTGATAGGGGCTTTCGGTCTCGCTTGGCCAGCAGTACATTAATCACTCCATGGTCTTTCACAGAGCGCACCTCAGCTACTCGGTACTCAGACATTTGAGGCTGCCAGTTCGTAGCTTTGGACATGTCTAGCTGCCGGAATGCAATGATCGCGCCAACCTTCGCCTCGCTCTCAGTCAAATCAGGAACAGAACCGATGTCGGCGGGAACCAAAGGTAGGTCATCGAATGTAGAATTGGGTGCGTGTTCAGGTTCAGGGGCATCGTCATAGTTGATCTGATCTCCTTCAGCTTCGCCCGCATAATGGCCTTCATAGTAAGGAGCAGCTTCGCCTTCCCAATGACCTTCATAATGGGGATCGGCTTCACCTTCGTAATGACCCTCGTGATTGGCTTGGTCATCATGGCCGTAGTAATTCCCATTTTCATCGTATTCCTCCTGCTCCTCGTATTCTTCGTATACCTGAACTCGCTGCTTTCTCTTCCGCTTCTTATTGGGGCCTTTCAGCTCACGAATCAATGCATTGGCTTCTTGATCCCAACGTTGAACAAAAGGATAAGGAGGCGCGGTCATATCAACTTGGGGATAGAGACACTCGACAGCACGGATAACAAGCTTGTTTTGCCAATCAATATCGGATGCATCTTCATCCTCCTCCATCTGGTCGGTCTCTTTTTGGGCGTCTCGCGTAGAAGCTTTGTTTCGGCGCCCGCATGCACTAGCTTTGGCAGCAAGGTTTCTCCGTGTTGCTTCTTCCTCTTCCTTGGTCTTTGGGGTTCGCATTCCCAGAGATCCAAATAGCATGCGTCGTGAGCTAGCTATATCCAAGGTACGTCGGTTCGAAGGTTCCTGTTCCAGCTGATCCCCACCGGGCACTTCTTCTGAAACAGGGATCCCTTCAACGGCAGATGCAGCAGGCGGGACATTTTCCTTCTCCGATATCTCTCCCACATCAACACCATGACCCGACGCAAGATCACGAAGCAATTTCTCGCGCCTGGCTTCAAACTCTTTCTTTTCCTGTTCTTTCTTTTCTCTTTTTTGCTTCTTGCTGGAAGACTCGGCAGATTCTTGTTCCGGTTCCAGAGGCAGCTGGGGTTTCACGAATGGCTCCGGGTTAAGATGTTGTTCCGGATTATGCCAGCCTCCGTGCTTCTCTTCCCACTCCCGCAATGCATCGAAACCTGCTTGTTGGGGGAGAGCGCCTAGCTCCTTGAGCTTGGATAGACGGCGGCGTAGTTTGATGCGGTTGTTACTTTTCTTGGTGCGTATGGACCCTTCACCAGGAGGGCCTACAGAAACTGGTTGCTGGACCTTTTTGACAGGCCGGGGGCTTCCTCTTCAGAATCTGAGTCTGATGAATCCGAGTCTTCGGAGCTTGACGATGAATCGGAATCGGAATCGGAATCAGAATCGGACGGTGCTTCCGCTGCAGGCTCCACCTCGCTTGAAGAATCATCATCGTCGGAATCATCATCAGAATCGCTATCTGAGGAAGATGCAGATGAATCGGATGAATCAGAATCAGAAGTTTCAGCAGCAGTTTCCTCAACCTGTGGGGCCTGCGGAGGTTGTGGGAGATCAGGCATATCCGCATCCTCCTGTTCATCTCCCTTGTTGAATCTCACAGCCTTGGAGGCTCTCGGAGATGAGTCTTCTGCGCGAGACCGCTTGCTGGAAAGAGACGAGGCAGCTGCAAGTGACCCCTTGGAAGTTGGTCGCTTGACTATCGAGCTAGCACGCAGTGGGTGTCCACTGGCATTCCGAGTCTGGTTCCTGATATCGACAAATTGAGAAGCTTCTTCAAAGTCCTCTTTGAGCGCTTGGAGTTCGCTCTCCAGCTCATCCTCCTCAATTCCAGGCATTTCAGACATATCCGCCTCACTGTCAGATCCCGCGGTGTGACCAACAGGATGGCGAATAACCGTGCCCAGAGACTCTTCATGCTCGGCGGGCATAACAGAAAGCTCCTTCCCGAACCCGGTATTAGGAGGTGGAAGCCACTCTCCATCACCTTCCTCGTCGGCATGGACTTCCTCGGGCACAAACTCTCTAGTATTCTCCCAGCCAGAAAAGACTGTGCGCCGTTTCTTCCTTGGGGGTATGGTAATCGCAGGTCGTGTAGAGGTAGTTCTTTTCAAGAACGGTGATCCGAAAGGCACGCCGTCGATGAGATGCTTGCCCTCAGCAGTGATTTGGTGGCGACCACACAGCCGTCTGGTCCGAAGATCTGCCAATTGAAGGGCACGGATGCTACAAAGGGATAAATTAGTCCGGTATACGATATTAGGTCAGTGTGTAGATACACATACACAACTTCATCTCCATCTCGGAGCAAGCCGTCAACCTCCATAAAATGAAGACATTCCGAGCCAGCAACTTCGACAACATAATCCTCCAATCCCCACTGGCCACTGAACTCGGCATCAAAGACACTGGGTTCAGTTTCCAGCGGCACAACTTCATTCACATCCTCGAGGAGTTGTGCGACCGTGTACCCGCCATTGGAGAAGGCGATGTTCGGGGTGCGAGAAGATGCGACAGCTGCGGTTGATGCTGGACGATGAGTCCCATATTCGCCTAGCACAGAATTAGACGAAGTCGTCGTCCAGAGAATGCGCGTGACCGGCAGGCCATGGCGTGAGATAACAAGGTGGAGACGCATGGTGGATGGTCAGTCGCGAGCTAAATCATTGACGCGGTGAATGGGCTTTTTTGTGTTGCTGTTGGGGATTTCGAGTAGAATACTCAGAGGCGATTTTTCGGTGCTGAATTAGTCCAGTTAGTCCAAGCTGGCATAGCAGGTTCGATTAAGATTTAATGTGTGAATAGGTGCCCATAGGGTTGGACATATGCTCGAGTGGAAGAGAAAGCAACCGATCAGAGCTCAAATCGCGCGGAGAGCACGCTAGCCATCTTGGGAATAGCGCACATCTTGTTAGTTGCCTTTTCCCTCATACTGGGCTCATGAGCTGATAGCCTCATTTTGGGCTTATGTTTTAAAATAAATGTGTGTAAACTAGGTGTCTAACAGATACTACACTAGATAAATTAAAGTATAGATCCCTTAGACACCAATGCCTCCATAGACCCATGATGCATTTCAACAAGAAAATAGGCTGAATAACACTTTCCAACATTGAAATTTGATGGGGTATCGAGTTCGAAGATATTAATAATGTAGTTTCTTATGAGTGATGCTATTAGTGCTGGAAGAATCACCGGCAATACCATGAAGCTCTAATCGATTTTAGAACCGGAACTGAGTATGAAAGAGGAGAGTGAAACCAAACAGCCTATTGAGCCCACTAGCATCAAGGATCTGGACTTCGTGGAACTGGTTTCCGGTTAGGAACACCCAAGTTCATAGGGCGAAGATTATTCCGTGAAGTTTGGCGTTGCACAGCCTGGGGAGGGTTCAGGTGATTCCCCGCAAGAGGCTCATATTGCGGCGGGCTTTCTTCATCAACGTTGTTCCGAGGGATTTTCATCATGCTGGCTGGGCGTCTCACGGGGGATACGGGGGGCGATCCAGATTGGGATTCCGGTGGTGTGGTAGGTAGCATGTCGAAGGACTCTGAGGATGCACGATTGCCTCGGCGACGAGGAGCCGAAGATCCTTCTGCCGCGGGTCCATCCTCAAGCGTCTTACCCGGTTGGGCTGCGTACTTGGCATCAGCTCCAGATTCTACTGTGCTTTGTGATGAGGCCTCTGGTGGGTGATACTCGCGGCGTGGTCCATCCACTGGACTCAGGTGGTCTCCCATGGCATCCTCATAACTGGGCGGTGCGTCGTCATATACATCACCAGAATTAACGGGTACTGGCTCGCCGCTTGGCCGTGGTGGCATGGGTGGTCGGCTGGTTCCCACCTCTGCTGGCAAGCTGGTCTGGGGTTTCGGTTTAGAGGTTGATGGCTGAAGTGATGCAGCAGCCATTGCATCCAGGAGTGCCTGTGGTGGGGCGATCCCCGAGAATACCCTGACTGGCATTCGCAGGGGAAGAACGATAAGTTGAGGCTATGCCATGGTCAGCCAAGAGACAACTATAGGGGTGAACGATTCAACTTACCTGCATTTCCCGGGCATTTCCATGAGTCAAGCCCACTCGAACTTCTAGCTCGTAAGATCTCTCAATGTTACATGTCTCAAACGACGGTGCCACCGAGTTAGGCAAGGGATACTGATTCCACAGTTTCGGATCAATAGTCCAATCAGTGCCTACGGGGTCCTCTGGCTTGCCTAGCGGGATATTCATATTGCTGAGGCTCACAATAACCCATGAGCCGCTTTCGGTGCGGCTGAGGTCATGGGCCAAAATTTTCGTGTAGGATATTAGTTCCACCTGTAACATCTGGAGGAAGATTACATCCGGTCCCTCGGTCAGCTTTTTAGCGAGGAGACGGAGGGGGACAGGTTCGTTGCAAGTGAGAATAGACGGGTTCGGCAGTCGAGCATCCACAGACACCCGAGGAGGCTCTGGATATGTCTCTTGGTGTGCAGAATGCACCCGTGAGAAGATGCTCTTTTTCTTGGACGGAACATGGGGTTTGTTGAATTGGTGTTGCCGCCTGGCGTAGGTTTCCTCATTTGGATTCCCGACTCTTGGTGGCTCAATTGGAAGGAAATTCAGAGGCACGATCTGAGAAACCGATCAACGAGTGCGACAATGGCATATCATCCGAGCATGTCACTTACCGATCTGATATTTTCTTTGTAGAACTGCGGCCGGATGACTGTGGCCTTGACGAAGTATTTGATATCTGCTACACCCGGGAACCCACTTAAAGATGGCGGGAGAGTCTTTCTGACGTGTCGGTTGGTGTCTTTAGCTACCTCAACTTTCAACCCGGAAAAGTTTAGATTGGTGAGCATGCTGTTGGTAGTGCTGCAAGAATTATTGAAAGGGAACTAGCAGAATGTTAAAAGTGTTATAATTGCCACTGGTAAGACTCTTTACCTTGAATTCAAAAGGGTACTCATATGACCCTGCGGCAAATGTATATGAAGGCGCAGGAGATCCATTCTGCATCACACCCGGTGTTGGGAAGACAGTAGCAACCTTGTACAAGATCTGCATTCGTTGGTTAGTCAATGCTACAGCCAATATTTTATCCCGCCGGTAGCTATGATAAGCTGCATCCTCTCACCTTGTGAACCTCAAGCTCCGTTCGCTTTTTGTCCGAGTGCACATTTTGGGGATGCTTAGGACCGGATAGACGAGTACGGCTCTCGCACTCCAGTTTGACCTGAATACCCCCGATTGCCGCTTCAGTCGGTAGCTGTAGCACAACCTTGCCCTTAAGGAAGTCCAGATTTGTATAATGGGTGTGGCGGCTGTCCAACACGATATTTGCGGACATGGCGGCGGGCGCCCGGGCCCTAGCGGGGCTCTCTCTTCGGTTGGTTGCGGCGTTCGAAGGGTCAAATGGAGAAACACGGTCGCTGGAAAATAATGCGATAAGGATTTAGCTATCAGGAGATGCAAATAGTGGACGGCTCGGCGCGAGGAGATGTCGTGGGGGTGTGAGATGGGGAGGGGGAAATGCGGATTATATGCGAACAATCCCGGAATGACGTTTCGAGAGTTCGCAGATCAACTGATTGCCAAGCAACAAATAACTACCACGGTCTCGCCCAGGATCAGGGACTCTTGCGGATTAAAGCTAGAGAGTTGGATTTGGCCTATATGCTGCGCCTCGGTCACATTACAGCCACATTTTTGAGACAAAGGGGGCTAATTCTACTAGCGTTCAGAAACTATAAGTTCAACGGTTGGTACCGGTTGTACGGAGTCTATACCTTCCATAGCTACTTAAAGTAGTAGATCAATGCTTTCGAATGATTCTATTTTACAACGTAAGTGATTTCACTATACAAAAAAATATATCCATCTATAGACAAGAGGACGGGAACTTCCACTCCAGGCACCAGAATTTCCGACCCACAGCAACAGGGCTGAGGGAAATCCAAATATATCCGGCTTTCCTTAAAGACCCTCCTTTGCCAGCATGTCTGAGTTTGTTAGTCTCAAGTAGCCCAATCAGGCCGTAAAACATACCTGCAATGTCCAAGTAAAAGGCAATAGCATTAAACCTGCAAGAAGATCAGCCTAACTCCCAAATTAAAATCTGTCAACTAACTTTCGTTTGTTGCCTGTCACTTCTCCGACGAGCCACTTGAGCCGATTGGTCCAGTTGATCAAGTCCAGATGGCTCACGCCCATAAGGGTTCCTTTGTACCCCGAGTCGCCTCCCCACCGGCTACTAGACACGCTGACCAGGCCGTCATTGGGTCCTTCGATCTCCGCAAGTACTCGGTGTGAGAGCCGAAAGGCGGACCATATACTTGGATTCACTGCTGCTCCATAGGAGAAATATCTGGGGAGTGTTGGCAGGGCGTAAAGTGGAGATAATATGTGGTACTTACCTGACATCATCCATATCTGGGGTATTGGGGTTGAAAGTCTCGGTCATGTATTTTCGTGTCAGTTGACTGAATGCACCAGTCTCGACATTTAGTCGGTTAAGGGCATAATAGATCTGAGGTAGGCGATCGGCTGCACAGAACAAATGTTATCTACGTTATCTCAGTAAGCGAGTAAGTAGTGACAAACCTCCAATTTGTTCAATTACATAGTCCGCCACAGATGAGCCTGCTAGAAAGTTAGCAGGAAAGCGAATGAAAAGTATTATGTGCCAAACCTCGATGCGGAGATGCGATGGTGGTCAGTGACAAGACTTTGAATTTCTCCGGTCGTATGCGACTAATCATATATCGCGAATCAAGACCACTTTGCAAGCTATTAGTTTGTGCTGTGTAGTGTGGTCCTCTTGTTATGTCTCACCCCTAATCACAAATAAGCATTAACTCTATCGTAATGATTGAGGGGTCTCACCATGCTATGCCTGTACAGAAATCAGTCAGAATGTGTCGATACATGTAACCAGAAAATGAACGTAACATACGCAATGATATTAACATCTTTCCCTCGAGCCTCGGTCTCGATATTTCGGGCCAATTGTTCAGCCCGCACTTCGATAGAGCCCGATGGGGGTACTGACGCCGTGATAACTTCAATTCCTCGCGCCGTTAGTGCCTCTTTGATTCCACGCCAGTACTGAACACCGGGGAGATATGGGCCAGCAAGACGTAGTTCATCAAACCCGAGCAATCCATGGGCGAGAACGACAGGGTATTTTGGTGCAGCTAATGGCGATTCAGCAGCTTTCTATACTATTCAAGTCAAAAGGGACAAACCATATTTATCACGAATAATTGAGTACTCATCAACAATTACTTTGCCGTGGTCCTCTAACCGCGGTTCGAGACTTGGTCTGAGTCTGCATGGCGACCCATGATACCGCCTGTTGTTAGAGTGGCATATAGTCTGACTGAATGAGTAACAGGCAATTGAAGGCCGTTTGAGTGCATTCCGCGTACGAATTGCATGTTTCATTGTTTTGTCTTGTCTGCAGATAGGTTGTCGAATGGGATCCGGCGCGGAATGACGCAATGGGAAACAATTGTTGATGCCTCAGGCCGAAATGAACTATACCTCAGCCAATTACTACATGTCTTCTTCCTTCACCACGAACGTAATTATGAGCGCCTTTTTGGGCGAGAATAATTCAAAACAATAACCAATTATTCCAAAGTCTACTAATAGACAAATTTCAAATGCCAAAGGCCAACCATCAAACAACTTAGGACCAGAACAATTCATGTCGAATCTGCCTTCTAGTAAGATGCCACGGGAGTCGGAGTTCTGTACAAGTCACCGGGGCTGCTGAAAACGGTCTTCAGAATCCCATATCCGCCCCTGTTGAGGACGAAACCACCCCCTACGGCCAATTCGGAAAGATATACCATACGCATTGAGCTCGTATGCAGAAAACTCGCGCACCCATCCCTGTTATCCACACCAGCCTTCCTGGCCAATATTCGTATGTTCAAAAACTGCCTTCTACACCGAAGCACAAACTTGGCCATGCTACCGAGACACAATACTAGCGAGCCAATTGTTGAAATGCTTCCAATAACTCAAAATGGCTCGTGCGAGATATCCAATAACGATAATAGCCACACTGTGCGCTTAGAATACTGCCCTGAGAATCAGCTCGAAGTTGGACACTAAGCACACTTTCTGAATCGAACACAAAGTCTTAAGGGCAGTCGTAATGGTGGGCGAATCTATCTTGTGATGGAGAGGGTTAGTATGACTAAAGTTTTAAACACCCAAGGGGTGTTGGAACAAGTGAAGATTGAATACCTCCTCATCTCTTGTAGCGGTTGTGTAGTGGCTTGTCCCCAATCTTACCCTCTAGTTCATTCTTCAACCGCGATGTTGCTAGGTCTCTAAGCAATCCTATCATTAGGTCCCTTTTGTCCCACCGATGCGAACTGCCACACTGAAACAGTCGGTACCACATTCCCAAATCCAGTGATCCTCATGGATTGATGCCGCTGGTATCTGGAGGAAACTATCGTCCCAAGGGCTTTTTATACCTTGAGAGCCTCATTTCTTACTTTCAAACACGTTATATTGTGGCTATAACTGACAAGCACGCTACTTGTGGTGCTTGCGCAGCCGCTCTCACGTCGCAGCAACTGCGACCATTCGATAGGATAATGTAGTCCAGGCATACTACAAGGCTGTTGCGACGAGACAGAAGCCGCAGCAATAGCGACAACTGTAACAGTCTTTTCTTGTGCCGCGATTGCCTGTTGTGGGGGCTATTGAATTGCTGAAGGAAAGAAGTGACCCAGAAGGGAGACACGTAGGACCAGGTGGCTTTTTTTCATAATGACATTACTGTAAGACTGAAATGCTCTAGTATCGAATGGACCGGGTAACATTTTATAATAAGAGGCAACTGATATATCCCGGCAACAGATCTGAGTAGTAGACCCCCTCTAAAACCAACAGTGACTTGTTGCACTGAGATCCATTCAACAGGAATGAGTATTGACACATTATCAGGGGTTCAGACAGCGCAGTGAATCCTGCTGCGCCTCTCGTTGCCGTCCCCTTGTGTCGAGTAAGAACGGGCACGGGTATAGAGGGTGTGTTGCTTGGCTTAATGGACTGGTGACATATTCCAAGTTCGCCGAGGCATAGCCCTCTATCATAGGCTGAGAGTAAGCTGAGTCAGTAAGGTCGAATAACTGTGATGTGGTGATCAATACTGAGACTTGCAGCAGATCGAAAAGCCTGGATTTAGGTCAAGTATCCAGGAACACCGTGGGATAGCAATAGGATGTGTGTATTCCGAAACGAGCGATCCAGACTTCATCCACGTCATATACATAAGATTAAACCAAAAAGAAATTGATATTGTCCGACAATTGGATATCGATGAACAGACGCGCAAGCGCATTCACGCTAGGAAAGAAAAGATAACCCAGAATATCTACATTATGCCTTGATCTTCTCAGGCACCTCGGGCTTGACGTCGGTCGTCACGCGGATGAGGTCTGCGACCACCTTGTCGCCCTGCTTCTTGCCAGCGTCTTTGATCTCCTGGAGCTTGACCTGGGCTTCCTTGTCGGCCTCCTCCTCGGATACCTTGTATCCGCTTGAGTGCTAATGAGACCAGTCAGTTTAGCACTATGAATGCCTCTTGTTATGACCGCCGGGTAGGAGCTGTATCTCACCTCGCCCTCAAACTTCTTGTACTCCTCTTCCTTCTGGTTCTTGTATTCCTCGATCTCCTTCTGGGCCTCTGACTTGGCGTCTCTTATCCGCTGGGTACGGTCTGTATAGTTGCGACATAATTAGTTCGATGGAGCGAATGGTGACAGGTAAGTTCGTATTGCGTACACTCTCTGGCTAAATATGATGTGACGTATTAGTGTCTGTGGTACGCAGCGATGAGGGGAAAGTATAAGTTGAACTTACCTTTCTGCACAATCTTCTGGGCCTCTCTCTCGGCCTGATAGTTCCGTGGTTAGTATCTCCATGCTGTGCTCAACATACAACCAAGACCTACATCGAGGAGGGTCTGAATGCCCGCGGAGTTCTGAGCCGACTGTTGTTCACCGTTAGCAGCTGGCCACCAATCCCGAGATAGATTGCTCACCATATTTGCTAGATACCTCACAGCTTTGGAAATAGGGTAGAAGGAAGATAAGGCTGGACAGGGACGATTAAATGGCGAGTCTGGAGCTCTGAGCCCAGGTCGATCGGAGCCACGCATCGCCCCCCAGAGCGGTGGGGGTTCTGCCATCAAACGCCGCCTGGTGATCGACAAACTGATAATCCCGGTCTCGTTTCAATGCACAGCTAACAAACCAAAACATTGTCTGTGATCGTTATCTGCTAAACCTCTGGTCGAGCCGTGCTCTCACTTACCCTGCCATGTCTCGTGCATCAAAATTCACATTAGCAGCCACTGGCCTCGGAACAATGGGTATCGTCTGGTTTGTCCATTGGGCACAAGAGGCGGATAGAGCGGTATGTTACAGCTTCAGCTCTTTATTTCTGGAATATACTTACTTTGTTGTATTTTAGGCTATGCATAGAGGAGTCGAACGCGACATGGAAAAGCAGCGAATCCGACTAGAACGCCAGGCCGACTTTGAAATGCAAAAGGCCCTCGAGCAGGAGTACCTCAAGCTCCAAACAGTACACAGCACCACCGGCGACTCAAATACAACCAGTCAAAACACGAGTCCAGGGTCATAATGCGAGTGTTTGATTGTGGATATTATGCTGCATTCTTATGCGCGATCCAGTTTGCGATTCTGTCTGGATGCGCTCTGGCTATACCAATGAGTTCAATGGCGGCCAGGTCGCCGATGCATGGGGAAAAGGAGTTAATGTTGTTTGAATATGCAATGTTGTACAAAGATTTGAAACTTGTGGTATTTAGTATACCTCATCTGTACCATATAACATGAAATCGTCTCTCTACCAGTTTGGGTGTTGACTTGCCGATCTCTTATAGTCAATGCTGTAGTTTCCAAGTAATTTAGTCTGTTCTGTGATCCCAAACGGAGATTAGTGACTGATAAGACATACACCACTGTGGCGACAATAATCGGACGTTCTGTTATGATCTTTTGGCCTACAATATAATATGGGGCCATACAGTCTGGAGGATTTAATGCTCTTATGCAGCCTATCAGGTGCCGCCGTTAATCGCAGGAATGCTTTTTTGGGGATCTGGCAGCATAGTTTCTTATAATAAATATACAATATACCCCGAATACCCACTACACTGAAGTTGTTTCTGCACATCACTGTTGCGGGCTTCATACGCGCCATGTGGGTAGTGGGCCGTACCCGTACGCAACACAGCTCATTTTCATGAGTTCTAGAACAAATGGGCTTTTTCTTACTCCGTACAATAATTAAACTAATATCTATTTATAAATCAAGTTAATTGGACAATAGTTGGCGATATGGATTGGATGTGGTTGAGTGCCGAAAACGGCATTCCCAATCCGGAAGTATGAATTCATACAACTCAAGAGCCTCCAATCAAACATTTCAATTCTGAATCTAGCAATAGTCTTATATTGCGAGGAAACATTTTCTTTTCATCTTTCATCTACCATGAACAGCCTGTCACCTACGCGGTGATGTCGGCCATGATTTCACGCCGAATGGCATTCAAACAACGGCCTTTCTACAGCATCCTGATAGTTATATCAATGATATGTGCTTTTTGGGCCACATTCAAATCCTACCAAGCCATTTATATCCTGAAATCAGATTATGTTCCCAGCAACAAGTTGCGAAGAGTCGCCAAGGTGTCCATGCTATATGGAGAAACGAACCATATGTATGAAAGAGCACTGCAAAGCCATGAACGCCATGCTAAACAATGGGGCTACCCAGTCCACATCCTGCGACAGGATATCTCAATCGGATTCTGGAATAAACCGAGCTATCTGCTATCCTTGGTGATCAATGAAATGGCCAAGCCAGCCGGCGAGAGAATAGAGTGGTTGATGTATGTCTTGTCTTTCCTTATATGTTATTGGGAAATACTGACTCTTGCAGGTGGGTAGATGCGGACTCGATTATACTGAACAATGACATACCCGTGGAAATCTTCCTGCCGCCATCAGATCTGAAAGATATCCACCTGGTGGCAACCCAGGACCAAAACGGCCTCAATACGGGAATTATGTTCCTCCATGTCCATCCATGGACAATCAGCTTCCTTACCGAAACGTTAGGCTACCCTCTTTATCTCCCGAAAATTGACCTCGGTCGATCTGCCGACCAGGAAAGCATGAGACTTGTGCTTAACAAGACAATGGGAGGTCCAAGCGGACAGGGCTATGCAGATGGAGTCTCCTACCTGCCACGGCCATGGATCAACACCTATGAATGGGACTGGGCCTATGAAGGCAAAAGGGGCGATCTGCTCGTCCACTTCCCGGGTCTGGAGGAGCGCCGATGGCCGCATATGGCTAAATGGTTGAATATTGTCGAGACAACTCCTGGTGACTGGAACTTGCCTCTCGAGGAGACTGGATACTTCAACAAGACGACAATGTACTGGTCGCAGATGCGAAGTGCGAAGGAGAGTATCAAGTCCGCAGAGAAGAAACTGAAATCTGGGGAGGCAGTGTCTGGAAATACCAATGAGACAGTCAATGCACTCAAGAATACACTGCGTGAGAAATCAGACAATATGGAGCTGGTACAGCAACAGACCGAGGATCTTAATGTGTTGATCGGGATGTAATAGGCTTTTGTTGAAGATTCATGTTGAACGTGGGCTACTTAATAGTTGTTACTAAAATTTATACTAAATAGTTAAGACTTTATTTGATTTATACTGATCCGTCCTCTTCCTATCAAATTCAAAGTATGAAGTCTGTGCTTTCCAACACCACGATATCCACCAACTCCCAGCCCTACAGCTCATGAGACGACTCACCAATAGACAGCGGGCCTTTCTTGACCATGATAGTGAGGATTTCATATAGCACATCGGCAGCAGCCCTGTAGAATAGTCAGTCTTTGTCTGGTATGTCATCAAATTTCAAAGAGCCTTACATCGTCGACAACTCCGCGTTGGTATCATAAGCCGGTGCGACTTCAACGATATCCGCACCAATAAAGTTCAGCCCATCAAGACCACGAATGATCGTCCGCAGCTCGCGCGTAGACCAGCCACCAGTCTCTGGTGTGCCAGTAGCCGGTGCAACTGTGGTATATACTTAGCAACAGGGCAAACATAGCATCCCACCTCAAGACTCACAAGCAGGATCCAAAGTATCAATATCAATAGAAAGATAAACCGGGTTCTCGGTCCCAACACGGTCCCGAATCTTCTTGATAATACCCTCCGTTCCTAAAGATTCCAATCGTAAGCATGAAAACGACCCAAGCAGCAAGATGCCATACCAATAACATCAATCTCCCTTGCCTCAACAATCTCAAACCCACAATACCCATCGTTCTCATAATCCGAAGGGCCGGACAACGTCGTCCGAATACCGGCATGGATATTCGTATCATTCTTCAACAAGCCCTCCATAGCCGCGTGGTAAAAGTATGTACCATGGTTAATAGCGGCAACCTGACTAGGCGAGCCACCAAAGACTTTAGGCTTCCACGAGTCCCTAATCAAATCAGCCATGCACATACTGGCGTTGAAGTAAATAAATGTCCTCACAAATGACTGTCGAAATGAATAACCGTCACAGGCCCATAAGCCTTATTAATACTCCGCAGCAAGGGCAGTGTGATGGTATGATCACCACCAAGGGTAATGACACGAGGAAGGGTCTTTCCAGCGCGCGAAAGTCCCGGTTTGTTCGCGTCAGTGTACGGCTTGCGCATCATGATACTATTATGCCCTTCTTCAATTTGTTGAATTGCATAGGTGTTGTCGTATCTATAGCGGAGTCAGCTTTGTCGAGCTCTATTCACACTGGTAGTGTTCTTTCAACACAAACGTACGAGGTAACAGGTACATCACCACAATCTAAAATCCGCAACTCGCTTGTAAATGGGTTCGCTTGCAAAGGAACATTGTAGCCACCACTATATTGCAATCGTGTGAGTTTTGTATTCGTGCTATGCTTGTAAACATCACTGCTCGGTAGGCCTGGTACGTACTAGAGATTGAGACGGCGAGAACCTTGTCTGATACCGCTGGGCCCGAACCGCGCGCCAGGTCTGTAAGAGGTTCCGGTGTCGAAGGGGGCGCCTGTTTAATTGAATAATTGTAAGTAGTAATTTCATATCATCATTCTGATGGACTTTATACTAACCTAGGAAAGCGATATCATATTTCTCGGCATCACTAGCCAGACATGGGAAGTAGGGCAGGCGGCCGAAAGTCGATATTCCAGAGAATACGGAGTCGGCCTGTTTGTTTCGTGAGATGAGTTCTCATGAATTGAGTCTGCTTGGTATAATAGGGCACTCACTTGTGTGCCACCATCTCCTGGGAGTGTGTTGTACCAGAGTGATTGGTGCGGCCCAGCGAGTTGAGAACCAGCGAGTTGAAACTGACCATGATCTCCATGGGCTGTAACCAGAGCAGAGAGGACCAGCAAGCCCGCAACTGAGGGGACCATTGTGATACTGTGCAGAGAGGATTTTATCGAATAGAATTGGAAATCTTTAGAGTGGATGTTGCTTGTTGAATCAGAGCAGATACATGGGACATCGTCCAAGATATAAGTATGCCATTCATTTCAAGGTATTCTCAACGTCTATAACAACTTGATGTCATTTAGTGTAACCATTCAGCTTCCCTTGCGATAGTATCCACTCCCAGACTTGCCCCGATATAGACACGATTGACAGCCCGCCAATCCCTTCGACCTGCGCCAACCAGCCCAACAGCCGATTCAATTTCGAGAAAACAAGAAAAGACACTATTTTTTTTTTTTTAATGCTAGGCAATGTTTTCCCGTCTCGCTCCCAGTAACTTCCCTTTGAGGAACTGATGTCAGGATAATCTGGGTGGGGACTGCGCTGTCAAGGCTTGGCCACGGCATACATATATCATGCAAGGCAGAGCTAGTGCCAGGGTCCCAAAATGGAAGGCCGGGGGAGAAAGACGTGAAACAAATGTTAAAGTTGGGGAAGATAGGAGATCGGTTTAGGGCTAAAGGTTACCTAATGTATGTAACGGCTTATCGGCCGCTCGTTATTGGTGGTGTCGATCTATAAAAGTTATATTGGGATTTGTTTCCGACAACGGAGAACGATATGAATGTATAGTATTCTCTCTTGATATTTTGTATCGATGTATCGAATTTTTCTGGTAACGGTGAATCGGCTCAGAAACGTGTTGAAGACACGTTACCCAGATGGGTAGGTCTACATTGTGGCGGGAAAGATAGAGCGTAGAACAGGGCATGAAAATCAATACTAACAACAGTGGAATTCTTGTCCAATTTACAAACAGAGCTTTGCTGATTATGTGAATAACAAGTGATAGCATTGAGAATTTGGTATCAATTTCATCATGTCCTTAGAAGTTAAAATATAGGAACAAACAAATCTACTCTTCCACCCCATCCTCCAAAATCTCATGCACATCCATGCGCTGGAAGGCCTTGCGCACCTCAGTAGTCCATTGACTGCGCGCAACAATAATCCACTCAAGCGCTCCAACCAAGTACAGCGCAATACACTGCCCAATCCACAGGCCCTTGAGTCCCCAACCATGAAATGCAAGCCAGATACCCATCGGCAACGCACCACAGTAATAACTCACTGAATTAACCAAAGCACCCACATGCTGCCGTCCCATCCCTCGCAGACTTCCCCCACAGCTCCCATTAAGCCCATCAGCAATCTGGAAAAGTGCCACATAAGGCAGCACCTCAGCTGTAAGATCCACAACGCTAGCATCGTCATTGAAGATCTTCGCAAAATGCTCTCGTGTCCCCATAAGAACAGCCAGCACAACACCACCAAAAGCCATGCTGAGCAGGGCAGAGGTATGTGCCGCTCGTGCAGCGCCAGTATCATCCCTCTTCCCGAGAAGATTGCCGACGCGGCCAGATGTCGCAACCCCAATACCGAAAGGAATCGTGTTGAGAATTTGGTCGGCGGTCATGATGACACTCTGAGCAGCCAACGAGACAGTGCCTAGGCGTCCGGCCGCTAAAGCAACTATCTCGAAGGCCCACCATTCTGTGCCAACGTGGACAACCCCCAGAAGAGCGAGCCGGGAGAATGTGCGCAGGTTTTGGAACGCCTCATAGGACCATCCGCCCCAGCACTCTGAGCCGCTGATGAAGCGCGCATAGAGGACAAGCAGGGCAAAGGAGAGCCAATAGCAGAGACCCGTTGCTAGAGGAGCACCTAGGAGTCCGATCTCAAACGTGTAGCAGAAGATATAGTTGAGAGCGGCGTTCAAGGGCGATGTAATCAGCAGCACGTATGTTCCAGCTCGCATGATGCCTTTAACACGGTAAGCCTCTATGTATTTGGATAAAACTCCCACAAAAACATACCTTGGGCCTGTAAGTACTTCTTCATAACTTCAAAATAGATATATCCCAACCCCCCCGGAATCAAACAAGTCAAGAACCTCGCACTATCTCTTGACAGCTGGGGATCCTGACCAAGGAACAAGAAAACCGGTTCTGAAAACGCCCATAAAACAGCAACGGGTATATAGAAAAGACCTAGAACAAGAAACCCCCGCTGCAGCAGGATCCCCAGATCATGTTTGTTGGAGCTGCCCGTAAACGAGGAGGAGGCAAGCGTATCCATAGCCGTTGTGCCTCCCAGCGCAATCATCCACGCCGTCACCATGGCAAACATCTGCGAGAATGCACTTGCTGCGAGGTTCTCTGGTGACGAGCGACCGATTATGAGCACGGATACAGTCTGCAGGCTGTTTTGCAGGGTGTAGGCTAGAATTATGGGGGTCGAGTCTTTCAGCAAAAGCCAGAACTCGGCGAGAATGAGAGCTCGTGAGAATGGGTCTTCGCTTCTTTCGGGATTGCTGCATGGTTCATTGTTGAAGGGTTTGGAGAGGAGGGAGGTATACTCGGTTGGTTGGTGGGTTGGGCTCCTGTTGATGCTGGTACCTTTGTGCATGGTGATTGTTTTGAGACGAGATATAAATATCTCCTGTTGAGTCTATCGGTAGCTTCAATGTGTCGAGTTGTTGAACTGAGCTGCGCAACGTGACGTGATCGGTTTTTTGGAAATGGGGGCACAATTCGATGTCCACTTGAGCAAGGGAGTTCGAAGAAACAACAAGACTATCCATCGGGAAAATGCCTTGGAGTCGGAAGTTATGAATGATTTTAAGTGTACTAGGTGACGTGGAGCCTTAAAATTTGTATAGTATTATCATGAGTTCCTGGTACTCAGTGATACAGCAAATCCTCTGACTACGTATTCAACAAATACATGTTCAATTCAGTTGAGACAATTAGAGCAATCCGTTCTTCGAATCGTGTATTTTTGCTCCACTGCCATGCCTTTTGGCCATGTATCTCAAGTTCAAGTCCGATCTCGGACGTCTAGATGCAGCGGCGACTTGGTACGGCATATACCAACCAAGCACACGGGAGCCACGTTGCGGTGGCTTCAATTTGACGAGTATGAGTTTGAATAGATCGGTCTAGTCTTGATCCCCAATCTGATGTCAGGATATCTCCGGAGTATGTTTATGGTTCTTATCTGTGATGGCGGGGAGATCAGCCTAGCGTCCTCTCCTAACCCCAAAATGGAAGTTGACTAGAGAGGCATACTTTT